CCCCAGTACCAAATAATAACAACAACAAAATAAAAAAGAAAGGTTATTACCATATACCAGTAGGCTGTGTTCCACAGCGGCATCCCCACACATCTGTGTTTACTGGTTGTGTGGACTGATTGTCCTCTAGCATCTGTGTTTGTGTAAGTGCTCTCTAGGATGTTCACACAAAGGCACAATTGCCCAGCAACACCTCTCTCAAGAGGTATCCTCTTCCTCAAAGACTGAGTGGCCATACTGCTGGATCCTTTTTAATCCTGTAACTAGGAGCAGATCCTGTAGGAACAGTTCCTGGAGGAACTACCACAGATGAATACCACGTGAAGTCCAGGGCTTACTCTCTGGCCAAGAAATGGACCTGAGACACTCCACAGTAATACAAAGTCTGCACTAGTGTGATGCCTTGTGAATTAAAAGGGACGACCATGGGCAGTGGAGGACGGAGAGAGGAGACAGTTCAACTGAGGTGCTGTGGGGAACGGAAACAACCATGTTGAGATAGGACTTCAACAGAGAGCATCCCAGGATGGACAGAAGCTCGGGCGAGACCCATCCATACTCTCCGGGTGGGAAATCCCGGGGCACATCCCAGCACGGCTGGTTCATAGTCAGGAGATGATCAAACCAATGCTTGGAGCAAAAGGGAAAGACATTATCTTGTTCCCTATCATGCTGGGCACAATCTGGCCATGTTGAGCACGCAGTCCATACTGAGTGGCTAAAAGAAAGAACAGTATGGAAGTCAGGGAAGAGTGGCAAGGATCCGACCCAGGGCCACACAGGGGAAGTAAGAGAAGAGAAAGGAGTGGGAAACCAGTGGAGGACGGAAGTGGGGGTGGGAAGAGGGTTTCAAGGTTGAAACCTGAGAAACTGGGAAAAATAGAGCTGTGGCTAAAATTGCCCAAGAAACAGCCATCTAAAAAATTAGGGCAAGGTTACTCCAAAACTGAAGCAGAGTTGACCTCTCTATTCTGCCTCCTAACTCATAAAATAAAATATACAAATAACATACAAAAATTTATTACAAGACACTAATCTGGCCACATGGGACCAAGGGAAAAGGAGACGGGAAAAATATTTATTTATATATATATAATCTCCAAGGTACATGGCCAGAGGTGCTCGGGGCTAGGGATGAGGAATCATATTTTATGGAAATGATGAGGTCTCCGGAGTATCTCGGCGTCATAAACTGTGTTGAAACACATTTCATGTAGCCTCCTGGAAGAGCTGTTTCTTTGTCCTCAGTCTGTCTGTTGTCACGGGCTACCAATCCTAAAGGGAAAACTCGCTCTGAAACAACTGATTAAATAAATTTAATTAACTCGGAAAACACAAATGGGGCCTCCTGAGACTTCATTCCGTTTGGCCCAGCTTTTAAGACACTGTCACAGGACTCCTGCTTCTGCCCTGAGACGTGCTGATTGCCACATGAATTTTCTCTAAAGTGTGCATCTGGTCCTTACACTCATTCTTTGCGCCCAGAGTGTTCTCACTCACCCAAGGGCTGTTTGTTTTCAAACACTGCCTTGGCTGTACAAAGGTAAGGCCGGTCATGGGGAAAAGGTGATCCTGTCTTAACAGGCCCAATTTTTGCTTCTGATGGACTAGAACACTCACTACAGTGTCTTTTTACATCTCTTGAATTTGAGGCAAAGTCGTCAGCGTAATAGGTAAGCCAGAGACCTTAGACCTCTCCCCTGGGCTAGACCAGTGGTTCTTAAGAGGTGGCCCAGGACTAGCAGCCTCAGGCCCATCTGTGAAAGTACTAGAAATGCAGATTTGCAAAACTGCCTCAGACCTGTTGAATCAGGAACTCTGACATCAGTCTGGGAAGTATGTGTTTTAACAAGCCTAGAGTGATTCTGCTACAGGCTCAAGTTTGAGAACCACTGGGCCGCAGTCTAGATAGCAAGACTAATTTTTTAGATTGAACATCATACAAATTGATACATTTACCTCCTTTCGATCAGTCACTAATCATCTTTGCGGGGGTGAGGGCAGTGCCTGCCAGATGTCAGACATCCATCATCATTCTTCATCAGTCAAGGGGTATAAGTAAAGCAGCCAGGACTTCTATTCTTGCACTGGGTTCCCAGATAAAATATAGGATGCTCATTTACATTTGAATCTCAGATAATTAATGAAAAAAAATACACATTTGGTAGTGGAGATTGAACCGCAGGACACTTTACCATTGAGCTATATCCTCAGTCCTTCTTACATATTATTTTGAGACAGGGTCTCACTAAGTTTTCCAGGCTGGTCTCAAACTTGTGATCCTTCCATCTCAGCCTCCTAAGTAGCTGGGATTACAGGTGTGCCCCACAACACCTGGCTGAAAATAAATTTTGAATAAGAGTATGTCCCAAATATTGCATGGGATATGCTTATACTAAAAATCATCCTTTGCTTACCTAAAATTCAAATTTAGTGGAGTGTTTGTATTTTTTACTTGCTACATGTGGCAACCTTACTTTTGTGGTGCTTATATTCTAGTGGGAAATAAAAAATAAGTGAGTAAACTAATATGTATGAAGTGGCAATGGTTTCCAATGTGTGATTAAGAAAATAAAATATGTCTAGGCTGTAACTCAGGGTGGAAGTGTTCGCCTGGCAGTGTGCAAGGTCTTGGGTTCAATCCCCTGCACCACAAAAGGAAAGGAGACAGTAATAGGGTAGAGAGTGGCAGTGTACAGGCTACTTAGGGAATGACTCTCTGGGAGGCCAGAGCTGGCTATATGTAGATCCGGGGGAAGAACACTCCTGACAAATGGAACATCAAGCATAAGTTCTTCAGGTGAGGATGTTGTGGTTTTTGGTTTTGCAACAGGGTTTCACTATGTGACCCAAGCTGGCCTTGAACTCAGCCCTCCTCCTTCTGCTTCCTAAGTAGCTGGGATTGCAGGGATGTGCAGTCGGGCCTGGCTCAAAGACAGAACACTGTGGTTTTTTTGTTTGTTTTGTTGTTTTGGGGCAGAATCTCCCTAGGTTGCCTAGGCTGGGCTCAAGTGATCCTCCTGCCTCAGCTTCTCGACTGCTGGAACTACGGGTCCATGCCACCGTGCCCCAACTCAGAAAGCTCTTAATGTATTCTAGGAACTGGATGAGAAGAGCACCATAGGGCAGGGACAGAGCAGATGCAAGCACAGGGAAACTCAGTGGAGGCTTTAGCAGGCCACAGCAGGGAGGTATCCTCTTGCGGGAGACTTGGAGCACCGAAGATCAAATGATCAGATTTGGTTTTAGAAGATCTCCTAGCTTCTGTGAGGAGAGCCATTTGTAGACGAGGCAAGAGTGAGGAGTAGGGAGGTCAGTTAGGAAAGGTTGTGGAGTCCAGAGAGGAGGTGACAGAGGCTGGGACAGGCAGTCGCAATGAATATGGGAAGAAATGGGTAGATTCAGGACTTGGTGATTGATGGCAGATGGGGTTGGGCAGGGGAACAAGGTGGCGACTGATGGCGCTTTAAAAAAACTGGGATGAGATTGATTCTGGTCAGATGAAACTGAGTTTCTTTGGGGAGAGGAGGCATTGTGATATTTATTAAATAGTCTAGATGTCAAACACATGTCTGAACACATCAACCTGGAGTTCAGAGGTTTCAGGAATAGAGATAAGAATCGGGGAACTATCGGTTTATACTTGGAATTTAAAATGTAGAACTGATTAATATTACCTAGGGAGCCACTGTGGATGAAGAGAAAGGAGCCATCCTAAAATCAGAGGCCAAACCAAGGAGGAGGAGCCAATAAAGGGGGCTGAGGAGCACAACACCCAAAATCTCAACTATCTTAAAAGCCAAGGAGAAAAGTCCAAGAGGAGGTGGGAGGCCATCAATTTTGCTAACAAGCCAAATAAAATACAGAAATGTGACCATAAGAAAGAAAGCACAGAGTGGAGACAGCTGCAGGTAGGATTTGGCCAGGGCATAAAGAAAAAATTTTAGGCAAAAGCATTTTTTTATTCAATATCAGCTTTGTCATAAAATTGTGTGTGCATATGTGTGTGTGTTAGTGTAGTTATGTGCGTGTGTGTGTGTGTGTATATATATATATTTGTATACTATGTCACTTCTATTTAAATTAAAGACTATCACAGCTTGATTGGATGCAATTACAAATTATGTGTATGCCAGGAACAATTCCAAATATATTTCTGCCCCATTTTGTTTTTTTTAAAAATTGTGGTAAAAACCATATAACTCGAGATCTGCCATCATTACAAATTTTAAGTGCATAGTGCAGTATTGCTAACTAAATGCACACTGTCATGCAGCAAAGCTCTAGAACTTTCTCATCTTCCTTAACTGAAACTCTATCCTATCAAGCAGCAAAACCTCATTTCTCCCGTCCTCAGGCCCTGGCACCCCCCATTCTACTTCCTGCTTCCGAGTCTGATGACTTTAGATGTCTCATAGGAATGGAATCTTGCCCACGCTGTCCTTCCGTGTGTGACATTTCACTTAGTGTAATGGCCTCAGTGGTCATCCTGTTGTAGCATATGCAGCTATTTTTTGTAGGCCTGAATGATATTTCATTGTATGTACATATCACATTTTCTTTAGCCACTGGCCTATCAACAGGCATTTAAGTTGTTTCCAACTTAGCTGTTGTGAATAATGCCACAATGAACATGGGAGGCAAATATCTCTTTAAGATCCTATTTTTAATTATTTCCAATAAATGCCCAGAAGTTGCTAGATCATATTGGAATGCTATTTTTGACTTTTGGAGAGACCTCCATACTGTTTTCTGAGCAGCTGCACCATTTTATATCCCCACCAATAGTGCACAAGGTCCAGTTTTCCCACATCCTCACCAACACTAGTTCTGTCCTTCCTTTCTTCCTTCCTTCCGAGAATGGCCATCCTACCAAGCATGAGATGGCATCTCCTGGTTTTGATCTGCATTTCCTTTAATAATGACGTCAAGCACCTTTTTATATACCCATTACTTATTTGTATGTCTTCTTGGGAGAAATTTCTATTTGAGAACTAGAATTGAGTTATTACTTATTTAATTTTTGCTATTGATTTGTAGGAGTTCTTGTCATATTTTGGGTGTTCACTCCCAGTGAGATATAAGGCTGGCAAGTGTTTCTCTCCCACTCTGGAGGGTGCCTTTTCCTCTCTTGCTGGTGTCCTTTGCCTACAGAAGCTTTCTTGTTGGATGTGGTCCCACTTGTCTATTTTTACTTTTGTTGCCTGTGGTGTCATAGCCAAGAAATCATTGCCAAGACCATTTGGTTTCTTAACAGCATTAAGAGTGTGTTATTTGTTCCATAGAGCAGGGCGCCTCCAAAAAATTGTATTTAAATTACTTCTGCAAAAAAAAAAATCATTCTATTTTTGTTCATGAATTTTTAAACTGAATTTATAACAGAATATCAATAATTCACAGACCTTTCACTTGTGAAAGAAGAAACCCCTTTACATTGATTCCATGAGTTGCACAGGCGTGAAGAGCCCTAATTGGGCTGAACTGCTTCTCTCTTTGGAACATCTGATGACATTATCAAACCACCATCATTAGCCATTTGCAAAGTTCTGCTGCAGATAATGGAGCCAACAGAAACAGCTATTGCCTCATTTTTCAAATCTGCAATAAAACTAGAAATTAAAAAACAAAACCAACGAAGGAGAACAGTTATTTGATGTAAACAGAAAGTCACACTCCCCGAATGAGATGTAAATGACAGCTGCACGTATCAAATTGTTGTCTCTGAGAATACTTAAAATAACTGCTCACAGTAAATACCATCAGCAGGTCTGTGCCCTCTGATTTCTGCGTGGCTGTGACAGGATGACAGCTCCCGTGTAGACGGTACATGTCCACAAACATTTTGATCAACCTACACATTCAGCAACAACTTTCATAACGTGAAAATTCTGATCTTAATGATTCACACAACCTGCATTTACATACTTGTTTTAGCTTCTCGCTGATGAAAGTTTACTGCAAAATTAAAAAAAAAAAAGTGTTTCTAAAAACAAAATGAGGCCCTCTAAAATTAAACTTCACAGTTTCCCACTGACCGCCTGGGCTGGTTCCGCGTGCGGGCTCAGCAAGGCCACAGCATGACGGGCTGATGCTGAAGGGCCTGCAGGAATAGGGTCTTTCTCCCGCTGTCTCCTAAAACCAGGAGTTGGCTGTCCTGAACCACTCGTGTCTAAGTGCGTGCCATTTTATTAGTGAATTTAACATGGAACAAGGAGCTGGAAAGAATCGAAGGGAAAAAGAGATGAATCATCACCCATCAGCATTCAGGCATAGTCACGTGTCAGAGCAAGAGGGCTCACTGCACGTGTCTTGCACGATGCTGCTGCACTTGATCGTGGCAGAAGCTGAGTGGAGGCCTCCCCACCCTGTCCAGGCTTACTTGCAACAACTATTAATAACACTCCTTAACAAATGACAGTCTCAGGACAAATGCTAAACTGCAGACACTAGGACAACATTCCCAAATGTACCAAGCCTCTCTGAGGTTGAACACACTCTGGTTTACCATCTCTAGTTGGCTACAGAGTTCTTGTTCTAGAAGTTTCCTGTGCTGCCAACTGTGTCGCCCTTCTGCCTCACACAGTGTTGGAATCTCCATTTTTCTAAATCCACAATTTCCCTTTTTATCCACCTGAACCCTCATTTTGGTGGAGCACTACCTCCACCATTTTCCCTTACAAAGGGGATGTGGAAGGTGATATTTATGTGATGCCCCTGCTTGCCTGGAAATGGCTTTAGTCTTTAATCTTCCCATGCACCTGGTTGACGGCGTGGCTGGATGTGGGATTCCAGGATGAAAACAGATTTCCCTCTTGTGGCTGATAGCTTCCAGTGTTGCTATTGAGACAAATACATCCTGATTATGCTTGCTTGTATGTGACCTGATGGTTCTCTATGAACACTCTTTGGATTTACAAACAAAGCTAGGCATAGTGGCGCAAGCCTGTAAATTCCAGTGACTTGGGAAGCTGAGGCAGGAGGATCACAAGTTCAAAGCCAGCCTCAGCTACTTAGTGAGGCCCTAAGCAACTCAGTGAGACCTGTCTCAAAATAAAAAAGGGCTGGGTGTAGCTCCATGAGTAAGCACCCCTGGATTCAATTCCCAGTACAAATAATAATAATAATAATAATAATAATAATAATAATAATAATAATAATAATAATGATACAATTTTTAAAAATAAAACCAAACACCAAAATACCTCTATGGTATTCTTTTTTGGGGGGTGGGGGGCGCAGACATTCACTTAATACAGTAGCTACAAATCTCACAGCAGCAAGAATAAGAAACACATACAATGACCTATTATATGGAGTTCTTAAATTTTCCCATGTTCTAGCTTGTTGTGGGTCTTGCCCATTCTTTGTTCTAGGTGTTCAGTGGGTCCTTTAAAATCTGGAAAGTCAGTCATCTAGTTCCAGGGAAACTATTTTGTATTCTGTATTTGAGATCTCTCTTTGCCTATAGAATATACCCTCTCTTTGCTTATAGAACATACCCTTCTTCTTCTTTTTTTGTTTTGCACTACTGGGGATTGAACCTTGCACATACTAGACCAGCAAGCCCTCTACAACTGAGCTACAACCCCAGCCCTTCATTAAAGTTTTATCTTTGTTTCAAGACAGGGTCTCCCTGAGTTGCCCAGACTGACCTCAAACTTGTGACCTTTCTGCCCTGGACTGCTAAGTGGCTGGGATAACAGGTATGTGCCACTGTGCCCAGCTGATTTCAGAACATTTTCATCACCCTAAAAGAAATCCCATACTCTTTAGGAATCCTACAGTGTGTGTTCATATGTCTGGCTGCTTCAGCTGTGCCGAATGTTTTCAAGGATCATTCAGGTTGTAGCATCAATTGGTGTTTTGTTCTTTTTTTATAGCTGAATGATATTCTATTTTGTGGATGATTCTACATTGTATTCCTGATTTCCAAAAATCCTTTCATGTTCTCTGAATATTGTTTCTTTTTGAAGATGCTCTACATGTGTCATGGATATATTACCTTACCTTTCTAAGGATATCATTCACCATTTGTTCTGAAATCATCCTGCACTCCTTGTTTCCTTTGAACCCCCTTTTCTCTTTTGTTTTGATCTTAGGCCTTTGTATTACAGGCTTTCATCGAGTATCTGGTGATCTTGGATGGTGTGTTCATCAAATTGCTGACCAGCAGTTCTGTGTGTGCCTAGGATTTGTTGACTGGTGGGCTCACCATGAGATGGTGGGGAGCACCTGGCTCTTCCCCCTGAGCTACTCAGTTTCCCCAGATGCCCTGGGAAGCACCATTCACACTGTAGTCTGCAGAATGATGGATCCCTAGAGTTCTGCAATGGCCCTGCAGAGAAGCAGGTGGGATGGACAGGGAGCCTGCCTTACATGACTTCTGAGAGTCTTCCTGATTTCACTAAGGCTTTGGGTCTTGTGATGCCTTGCGTTCCCTGGATTAGCGCATCTCTGGTTCCCCCTCTTTGTTGTATAGCAAATCTTCTGTCATCTGCTGAATAGTAGCTGAAATGAGATTAGATCCTTTGTGTAAATACTTCTTCCCAGGTGGTGTTGACACCTTTTGCATATCCCCAGCCATCCACAGTTTCATTTTATTCCTGAGTGGCTGGCTACCTTAGTGGGTTTGGAGAGGTAGAAACACAGGCCTGTGTTCAGTCTACAGAGTTAATGCAGGAGGACAGTTCCCGGGGAGAAGGCAAGCCTGGGCGAATCCTTACCAGCATCAATCTAGGGATGCTCAGGCTGGGAGCCTCGTCCATCTGGGAGCTGCACTTGGAGGGGGGCAGGGGAAGTAAGTACAAAGAAAACCCTTAATTTACTTCACAGTTTCATCTAGAGATGTCGAAGATGAAGCAAACAAATATCTAAAATAGCTACCAGGTTTTCTCTTGAGTGACCAATAAAGCAGCTGCATATAATTACAACAATAAGAAACGTCCATTCCGCCCAGAACTCGGATTCCCAGCCCTTTGTCTTTCCAGGCCATTATCTTTCCATTAGGCCAGGTCGCCTCTCACAGATGCTGCGGCTGCGGCTGTGGCGGCGGCTGATGCTGATGAAAGCCGACACGTATCCTGCACTTAGTATGGCCAAGCACTTTACATACTTCAATGTTTTAATCCTTACAACCATCATTTCCTGTGGTTACTATTATTGTCCCCAGGAGGATAATATCACACATAGCGGTTAGGTAACTTGCGCAAGTTTACACAGCCAGAAGAGTTCAAATAGAATGAGTGGTTAATAGCTCAAACAGAATAAATGACTGAAATCCAGGATTTGAACCAAGGAAGTCTCTCAGTACAGTCTTGGCTCTTACAAATGCACACGACACATAACAACCCTTGAATGTGTGTATCACCCCACCACTTCTAAGGCATGTTCTCACCATCGCACTTTATCCTTGTAGTTCCATCATGACTTGAGGAAAGCCAAGTCCGTATGATCCATCCCAGATCTGTGGTTTACCTATTTTACTGAGTGATACACTGCTATACTGATTTTCAGGTTTATAGTACGTTGTAGCCCTAAGCTTCTTTCACTGGTTCACTTTGGTAACTATGAACATTCATTTCCATGGGATTCCAAGAAGAGACGATACAAAGGCAACATACTCAAATACTTGAGTGCAAATTGTAAATGGTTGGCTTAAAACTCAAACTATGTTTCCAAAGAAATAACCTGAGTCATGATGAGTAGGTGCACAGACTAGCCCTCAATTGCCAGAATGTTACTCACTGTTACCACAGTAACTGCAGCACTCTGAGGCTGGTGGTGGACAAGAGCTGGGGCAAGGAGCAGAGAGTCGGATGGTGGTAGCATCTCACAGAGGGACAAGGTGTGGAGGGGTCTCTGTGAGGGGCTGTTGGAAAGTAGGCTCTGTAGCCATAGTTTGTGCTTATGGCTCTGTACACAATCCAGGCCACTTAAATACAAGAGAATAAAATTTGCCATTGAATTAGAGAGATTTCCTGGAATAACAGATGTTGCACATTTAATGGGCAGGGGCCCCTAGTTCCAATGCTTTAACAAGAGCGGAAGGAGTCAAATGACAGGTCTGAGGCCAGCTGAGAGCTATTTGCAGAGGGAACACCAGGTCCAAATAAGGCTGATTTCCCCAAAGAATTCTTTTCCTTTCATTCTGCCGCTAGGGCCCTAGTTTAGCTGTTAACCTCCAGACCTCCTATGGTTCCAGGCTGCTTTTGTCCCGGGATGACATTGCAAGTGTCTTATGTGCTGAGCTAATGCAATCAGTCATCTTTAATGAAGTCTTCTGAGTTTCACAGGCTTCCAGAATTGGGATCTTTTTGGAATGAAGCACTTGCCAACTTGATCGAGACTAAGAGCTGGGCATATCCTCTTTTAGTTGATTAATTACAATAATTATAATCATATGAATCATTCATTCAGCTATTCATTTATCTCTGTTCATTCTAATTATGTGAGGGGATCAAATGTGGGTTTGTTTGGGTTTTTGGTTTTGAATCCATGGATTTTCTAGATCTTCTGCAATCGTAGAAGAGTAAAAACTCTATATGCAGAATTTCTAGGATTTCTTGTGCTCAGAAATTGTTTTGTTTGTTAGTTTTTTTCCTGAGAGAAACTAAACAAATCTTATAACCCAACCTGCCCCCTGGCCACAGAGCACACCCTGACCCCTTTATTAGGAGAGAATCTGATAAAAGAGCTACCATTTTAAATTCTAGAAGCTTCTTGATGAGTTGATGAGAAACTAGGCAGAGGCCTCAGGCTCAGCACAGACTTGGGACCCTGTAGCTGCAGCACCCAGAGACTGTAACACCTCCTCCCACCAGCTTTTAAAAAGCAAAACCTACTGGAGGACTTTTCTTAATTCGAATTTAAAACTGCAGGAAAACAGTTGCTATTTGCATTCTCTGCTTCTTGCACAGGAGCTAAACAGAGGCCTGTGGATCTGCCCCAGGGCAGAAGGTAAGGCTATTCAGGGATGAGTCATTATTGTGGCCCATGACATCCATCAGTCCTCATAGCACACCTTCCAGCTGTGTGACTGCCCAGAGGGAGCCACATTCCTGGGATCAGATGCCTTGCTCAGGAATCTTGTTGGGGATGGAAGGAGGAGGGAGGGATGCAGGGTTATTAGGTCAGAGGGGCCTGCTGCCTGCTGCCCAGAAAATGAACTGGGTCTGAACTACTAACCACTCAGAAGACGGCCATGGAGGGTCTCTCAGGCCAAAGGCTCGGTTCTTCCTGCAGCCCTTCCCTCCTTTCTGTGTTCATTAGAGCAGGTTAGAGTGCAGATTTGTTCCTGCTGCTGCTGTAACTGATTACCCTGAACTTAGTGGTTTAAAACAACACAGGTTTGTTATCTTGCCATTCTGGAGGTCATGGGTCTGAACAAGGTGTTAGGGGGCTAAAATCAGGTGTCTGCAAAGTGTGTTCCTTTTGGAGACTCCAGGGAAGAAAGTGTTGCTTTTCGCAGTTTCTGCAGCCTGCATTCCTGGGCTCCTGGCCCCTTTCCACCTCAGAGCCAGCGACCTCATCATTCAACCTCTGCCTGCCGTCCTTACCTCCTCCCACTCTCCTGCTTTCCTTTCTTTTCTAAGGACTCTTGTGCTTAAAACTACGTACCTGAATTATCAGGAAAATCTCATTCAAAATCCTTCACTATATCACACCTGCAAAGCTCCACTTGCCAGATAAGGTGAAATAATCACAGTTCCAGGAGAAGGACGTAGACATCTGTGAGGGCCATTATTCTTTTCCCCCAAACTTCTCCACTTTATTAAAGTAGCCCATGATGGTATTTGTATGTCCAAATATTTATTCCAAATATTCTCTCCTCTGGTCATCTTTAAAATTAGGATTCTGCCTCAGTCTGGCTGGGCACAAAATAACCAAGCCGCCACACAGCCGTGTAGGTTCAAAACAGGAACTCCTTTATTCTCCGCACTCCCTCGAATGCGTGCCCACGCACTCGGCCTTCTCCCGGGACACGCCACACACCAACCGGCAATCCCTCCTCCGGAAATCCCTCCTGCCGCACTTCCCCAACCAATGGGAACTCTCCAGGAATCCCCTTGAGAACTCCAAAGTAGCTTGCCGAGTCAGACAGCAGGGGTCTAATATACAATTGAATACACAGCTTAACATAACCATTATCATCTCAATGGCTTGCTGGTGTCACCTCTCAACTACTCAGTTCTGGCAAAAATGTCATTCCAACTCTGCTATGGCTCTCAGCAGGATTTTGTGTTGGAAAGTCTTTTTCTCCACTTCCCTAAATTCCCTACCGTCACCATTGTTTGTTCTCAAGTTACCTAATCCTGATACAGAGAGGACTTTGCAACACAGGAAATAACTCAGAATATAAAAGCACTTAACATATTCCAGAATTAAGCTACCCTTGAGAAATTGTTTAACTTTAAAAGCCTAAACTGTACAAAATGTTGAATGTGGAATGGAAATATTATAGTGTGTAGTTTATGAATGGATGAAATTCTTTTTTTAATAAATATGTGAAATTAGGCACTTATTTTTGGTAATTGGGAATTTTCTCTTACCAAGACAATACAGATTGTGGTATTAAGGGACATTTTGTATGAAACATGGAAGGATTTTTCTTTTCTTTTTCTTTTTCTTTTTTTTTTTTGCAAGATCTTAGCAAATTAAGCACAGACAGTCATGATCCTCCTCTTTTCCTTCTAATAATTCAGGAATTAATTTAAGGATTTCTTGCAGCTGTTCTGTTTGCACCACCTCCCTCTTGTGAAAACAAATCCCCTGTGTTTCACCCTCAGCATTAGGTAGGAGGATTCTGGTTTTAAGGAATGCATTTGGGGCTGGGGATGTGGCTCAAGCGGTAGTGTGCTCACCTGGCATGTGTGCGGCCAGGGTTCGATCCTCAGCACCACAAACAAACAGAGATGTTGTGTCCGCCGAAAACTAAAAAATAAATATTAAAATTCTCTCTCTCTCTTAAAAAAAAAAGAATGCATTTGTTTCTCAGATTGCTGTAACAAATTATAGTAGTCCCCCTTTATCCTCAGGGGATGTGCTCCAAGACCCCCTGTGGATCCTGAACCGGTGGATGGTACTGAACCCTACATATGAGCCCTGAAATACTGTACAGTCAATCTCATAACTGAAACAGCTACCAAGTGCATAACAGGCAGGTAGCATTAACATCCTGGAAGTCTTGAACAAAAGAATGATTCACTTCTTAGGCAGTATGGAGTAGAATGATTTGAGCTTTCATCAAGGTACAATCTAAAACTTATGATTTCTGGAATTTTCCATTTAATAATATTCTACCATGGTTGACCATGCAATTGACATAACCGAAACTGTAGAAAGTAAAATCACAGATAAGGTGATCAAAAACTGGGTGGCTTCATACAGCAGCAATTACTGGGCATGGCAGCACATGTCTGTAATCCTAACGACTTGGGTGGCTGAGGTAGGAGGATTGCAAGTTCAAAGCCTGCCTCAGAAAATTAGCAAGACCATAAGCAACTTGGTGAGACCCTGTCTCAAAATAAGAAATAAAAAGGGCTGGGGATGTGGCTCAATAGTAAAGTGCCTCTAGGTTCGATCCTTAGCACAAAACAAACCAACAAACAAAACAGAAATTAATTTCCCTACAAGTACTAGAAGCCGGAAGTCTGAAATCAAGGTATACAGACAGAGTTGGTTCCTTCTGGAAGCTCTGAGGGAAAAGCATTCTATCCTTTCTCCAGTCCTTGATGTGATGTCCCTGAATCTGTAGACGCCTCCTTCCAGCATCACATGGCCTTCTTCCGTGTCAAAAATCTGTCTCCTCTCTCTTATAAGGACCCCAGTCATTGGATTGAGGGCCATTCCAGAGCCAGGATGATCTCAGCTCCAGATCTTTAGCATAATTACATTAGCAAAACCCGTTTCCAATTAGGTCACATGCATAAGTGCTACATCTTTGGGACTCAGACAGCTTTTGGAGGGCACTATTTCGCCTACTACTGGGAATAGACAGGATGGAACATTTCCCTGTCCTTCATGGTTATAATCTTGGACCCTTTAACAGTGTTCTTTATCTACACCAGAAAATTTGAATAATTTTGGTCTATTTTCTGACAGAAGTCATTCTGTGACACTTTTCTGAGTCTTGGAACTATTTCACTTACCATTTGTCTTCCCTGGATTATAAGGATGTCATTTTTTGAGAAAGATGTTAAGCATGACAAAGTGGCCTACAGCTCTGTTGAAAATAAATTGGAAAGACATTTAGTAAATTCATGCTTTAAGAAGATTCTCATAAATAAGGTGGACCAAGTAATATGGGTGCTATAGAAAGCCTGAATTAAATTTCTTCAGGGTATTAAAATTGTAAACCAGAGCAGAGCACCCTATGCGCTAAGGTCTTAGTTAAGGATTACTCAACTTGAGTGCTTTCCAGTTTGAGAAAATAAACCCAGATTCTTCCCTGATGTTTAATAGTGAGGCATTAAAAGTATTACTCAGATATAAATAGGTTGGAATCCAGGCTCTGTCACTGTGTAACCTGAGATGTTTCTTAATCTCACCAAGTTTTATTTTCTTCATCTGTAATTTGGAACTGATAGTAGAATTATTACCTCACAGGATCATTAAAGTAGTTAAATGAGATCATGCAGATAAAATACTTAGACGAGTGTGTGGCACACAGTAAAAGTTACATTTGCTGTTGTTAACTTCACCACCATTATTATTAGAGCCAGAGTGAGAATTCAGAGTAACTGTAGAGTCAACCAGCTTTTCGTACATTCTGTCAGAAGTTGGACGGCAGCTACTTGGCACTACTTTTGGACTCCAGTGCCATTATACCACCATGGTTTTAGTGAAATCTGCTCATTTTTTTGCCAACATCATTAGCTCTCTCACTTTTCACCCTCTTCATCCCTGTCTTGTACTGATAACTGGCCACTCCCTGACCATCACTAGAGACTGTGACATCTGGGTTCCTCCTGAAGTTCTGCCCCTATTCTGGACAGCTTCTCTGTTGCTAGAGATGGCCAATCCAATGTGCTGACTTCACAAGTCTTAGTATTCTCAAGCTCAGGAGGTTACATCAATTGTCCTTCAGCCAC